AAATACATATATAGACTTGAGGCATCCTGGATTCCCATTCCCCATTCGTTCAACTGTCCCTTACCTCTTCCAAAAGGGGTGCAGTAATGAAGTAATAAAGCAGGGAACCTGGCAGGTGGTCATGTGACCACCCGCCTAGCTTCCTGATTAGATGGGTAACCTGGCAAGCCGCAGCCACGCTCCCTCACAGTTTCCCAGGCACCGAGGATTGCGGCTGTTATGTGAGGAATGTGAGTGGCAAGTTTTGCAGCGTTCTGTATTGCTAGGGTTTCCACCTTTTCTTCAAGCAAAACCCAAACACTCTAGCACTGCATGGCAATTTTTTGGGGAAGAATATGCCAGAGAGAGCCAGAAAAGATAGCCAGGAGAGAAAGCGGGGAGAAACAGCCAGGAGAGAGAGTGAGGAGAGACAGTCAGGAGGGAGAGCGAGGAGAGACATCCAGGGGAGAGAGGAGAGACATCCAGTAGAGAGAGTGAGGAGAGACAGCCAGGGGAGAGAACGAGGAAAAATAGCAAGGGGGGAGAGCGAGGAAAGTCAGCCAGGAGAAAGTGAGGAAAGATAACTAGGGAAGAGAGTGAGGAGAGACAGCCAGTGGAGAGAGCGAGGAGAGGCAGCCAGGGGAGAGAGTGAGGATAGACAGCCAGGGGATTTAGCAAGGAGAGATAGCCAGGGGAGAGAACAAGGAGAGATAGAAAGGGGGGGAGAGTGAGGAGAGACAGCTAGGGGAAAGAGCAAGGGGAGAGAGCGAGGAGAGACAGCCAGGAGAAAGAGTGAGGCAAGACAGCCAGGAGAAAAAGTGAGGCAAGACAACCAGGGAAGAGAGCAAGAAGAGGCAACCAGGGGAGAGAGAGCGAGGAGAGACAGCCAGGGGAGAGAGCGAGGACAGACAGCCAGGGGAGAGAGTGCGGAGAGACAGCCGGGGGAGAGAGTGCGGAGAGACAGCCAGGGGAGAGAGTGACGAGGGATAGCAAGGGGAGAGAGCGAGTAGAGACAGCCAGGAGAAAGAGTGGGGAGAGACAACCAGGGGAGAGAGCGAGGAGAGACAGCCAGGGGAGAGAGCAAAGAGAGACATCCAAGAGAGAGAGAGGAGACAGCCAAGGGAGAGAGCAAGAAGAGACAGCCTGACCACAGGCACCCCTTTCCCCACCTAACCACGCTCCACAAGCTGACCACAGACACTCCCTCACCACAGCATGACCACAGATAAACTTCCCCACCACAGACTAACCACCCTCCCCACAGCCTGACCGCAGACACCACCTCCGTATCATAGGGTGATCGCAGACACCACCAGCCTGACTACAAAGTCCTCTGTGCAACACATACTAGTAGATATAAATATTCACTGGGTATTCTGTTCTGACATCAGGGAGATCAAACCTTACAAAGTAAAACCAGGAAGAAAAAATAAAAGGTTTAAAAGAGCACACAGAGGCTTTTTTGGACAATTAAAATAATCTAATCTAAAAAGGAAAGATTGCCTTATGGTCAAACCAGGGGGCATTTTAATGTCTGAACATCTTCATTGTCATATTTTCTGCGCACCCCCCCCCCCCATCCCTCTTTCCACAA